ACTGTCGCTTCACAGCCTGGGTCAGTTGTTTCTCTATGGAGTTTGCATGTGCTCCCAATGTTAGAGTGGGTTTCCTCTGGGTGCTCTGGTTTCCCGCACAATCCAAAAACATGCGCTATAGGTGAAATAGATGAACTAAATTGGCCATAGTGTATGAATGTGTGTCAATGTATGGGTGTTTCCCAGTACCGGGTTGCGGCTGGAAGGACATCCGCTGTGTAAAGCAAACGCTGGATAAGTTGGTGGTTCATTCCGCTGTGGCGACCCCTGATAAATAAGATACTAAGCAGAAGGAAAAGTAATGAAATTTAACATACTTCTTAGGTACTGATATGAACTGTTATGGCAGTGGTTCTCAAAGTGGGGGTCGGGACCCCCAGAGGGGTCGTGGGACAATAAAGGGGGGAGTCGCCTGTTGATTTCCAAAAAATTATTCGTTTTCATTAAACCATAAGAATTACCATATTTTATCCATAACCTACTGAAGAAAAAAAATTGTTGTTTATAGATACTACATACTATATAGTTACTATAGTAGCTTATAGTTACTATAGAATAGACTTGGGTCTATTGGTGTGTGTGCGCCATTGCATGCAAGGTTTCTGTATTTATAACCACCTCAAAGGATATTGGGGGTCGCGAGTCACTGGTATTGTCATTTTGGGGGTCATGGGCTGAAAAGTTTGGGAACCCCTGCTTTATAGTACCAATCTGGCTACCACCAAAGTGACAGCTTCTGTAGAACTTTGAGAGTGTGGAAATGCTTAGAGTATAGCCAACAGAGTTTTAAAACTATCCCTATTTACACTGATCAATGAGAATGATGAAAAAAAACACTGTATTATGTATGCCAGGCCAGTAGGTGGTGATGTCACTTTGTGAAGAAACACTAGACGCCTGCACACATGTGATCCTGTAGTCTAGCATTGTTGTTTTTGTTGCCTAAGGCTTGCGTGTAAAATACAATACGCATATACTGTGCATTTCACTATAGTTTGCTAAAAATTTAACTTCTGTCAGGAAGACTCTTGGAATTTAGAGGGGTAATGAATATGGCAATGTTGATGTATTCGGTCTTGGTGGTAGAGACCTGCTATGTTGCTGCTGCAGCTGCTTTGATTATTATGGCAGAGCAAGTACCAAGAGCTGTTCGTGCCAGTATATACACAGACACAGAATATAACATGGTGCTGCTGCAAACATAATATATATGTAAGCCCTGTAGCAGATTTAAACACAGGTGGAGCTGGGGTGGAGGAGGGTCTTTGAAAGTGTGCCGCAGCTTAAACAGCGTAAAACAACACGGAGCATTTAAACTGATGATGCAGTTAATGATGCAGGAGCAGATTAGTTGACCTATCAGTCTGTGCACGATAAGTTTCATGCCAGTTATTTCACTATTGCAGTTTACACAGAGATAGAATCATTTTCAAAACTTAAGGCTGAGGCTTATAAGACTACCAAAATGCAGTTGTAATGACTGTTGTATTCTTAAAATTGTTATTCAAACAGTCAATAGAATTGTTGTCAATGGAAGTGCCAGGTTTTTTTAATACCAGCAGTGTAGCAAAGCGGTGAGCATGCATTTTATGTGAAGCACTGAGCACTTGACGACGCACAACTGAGCGTTTTTAGAAGAGAGTCTGCATTTTCAGCTGCACAAAAACAGTTCAGTAAACACATGTTCTTAATGAAACTTTTAAAGAACGTTTCAGATATTTCTCTTAAAATTTCTTAATAGTAGAAAAAAAAATCTACTGATCAACTGAATTGTGTGTTCCACTGTGGTCCTTTTTCATTGATTTCAAAGAGGAAAGAGTATATATTTAGTTTTTAATATGTTTCCATCCAACTACTTTGCATTTTACATCCAAAAAAGATTCCGCGTGAAAGGCAACTATAGCTGTAAAATTGATTCCGATAGCATAAAATGTCTAACTTTGTTTCCCTGTATTGGGTTGCAGCTGGAAGGGCATCCGCTGAGTAAAACCTACGACGGTATAGTTGGCTGTATATCCCGCTTTGGCAATCTCTGAAATAGAGACTAAGCCGAAGGAAAATGAATGAATGAATGAATGAATGAATGAATGAATGAATGAATGAATGAATGAAAATGTCATAATTTCACTACCAAAAAATGCTAGGTTTCATGTAATCCCTTAAAGTTGTCCCAACACAAATCAATTAAGTTACCTTGATTGTTTTTGGTAAGTTGAACATAAAACAATTAAGTTGTGCCAAAAACCCCTTAAAAATTGTGTTCATCAGCTCACACTGCAAAAAATGCTTTTCTTACTTAGATATTTTGTCTTGTTTCTAGTCCAAATATCTAAAAATTCCTAAATTAAGAAGCATTTTCTAGACAAGCAAAACATATTGTCTTGTTTTGAGAAATAATATGGCATTATTAAGTGACTTTTTCCTTAAAACAAGCAAAATAATCTGCCAATGGGGTAAGCAAAATAATCTTACGTCAAAAGAAAAAACAAAATTAATTTGCTTATACCATTGGCAGATTATTTTACTTGTTTTGAGGAAAAACTCACTTAATATTGGCATATTATTTCTCAAAACAAGACAATATGTTTTGCTTGTCTAGAAAATGCTTCTTGATATAAGAAATTTTAGATATTTAGACTAGAATCAAGACAAAATATCTTAGCAAGAAAAGCATTTTTTGCAGTGCATTTAAAAAAAAGTTTAAAATAAATAAAGAAGCAGCAAATATATATATATAAAATTTTTTTTTTTTTTGAGTGTACTACATTTATTATTTTGAAATATGCTTATACATTGAAAACAAATAGGTTGTTGATATTCTGGCTATGAATAAAGCTAAATAATTCACTTAATTTATTGCTCAGGAACATTGAGTTGTCTTCTGACGCCCATCACTGACACAGATCTGCAAAAACGACTAATCGAATTTTATTTTCTATTTCAAGACTATTTTGGCGATGCCACTTTGTAGATATCACATATCACCCTCCAAAGGGCACATTGAACTCATGCTTGCCATAATGCTCAAAACTGCCCACTTCAAGGGGTCTTCAAAATGAAGGATTGCGAAGGGTATAACTAATAGACACATCGTGCCCCATAATCCTTTGTACAGGGAAGTTGTTTGCTGTTGCATAGCACATTCTATTTGAAAGTACTCATTTCTACACTATCTGAAAAATGTTTTGTCCCAGATCCCAGATCTCTAGCTGATCATTTGGAAAAGGACAGAAGGTTGATTCTTCCGATGAATCATCTGTTGGACTGCATCCCAACTACTCAGATCACAAATACTGCAGAAGACCTATTGGAACCCGCATGAATCCAAGATTCACACAGAATCAGTCAAGTTTGGTGAAGGAAAAATCATGGTTTGGAGTTACAATCAGTATGGAAGAGATCTGCATAGTGGATGGCAACATCAACAGCCTGAGGTGTCAAGACATTTGTGCTGCCCATTACATTACAAACCATAGGAGAGGGCAAATTGTTCAGCAGGATAGCGCTCCTTCTTCTACTTCAGCCTCCACATCAAAGTTAATGAAAGCAAAAAAATCAAGGAGCTCCAGGATTGGCCAGCCCAGTCACCAGATATGAACATTATTGAGCATGTCTGGGGTAAGATAAAGGAGGAAGCATTGAAGATGAATTCTAAGAATCTTGATGAACTCTGGGAGTCCTGCAAGAACGCTTTCTTTGCCATTCCAGATGACTTTATTAATCAGTGATTTGAGTCACTGCAGAGATGTATGGATGCAGTCCTCTAAGCTCATGGGAGTCAGACACAATAGTCAATCGTTTTCCACTTCACAGTCACTTTATATTCTGTACTGGACATTACTGCTGTTAAGCGACAAGACTTTTGTCTAAGCAAAGCCAGACCTTAGTGTCCTAATTAAATCATTTAAAATCAAGTCATGATCATTTATTTTGGTAAAATAAGCGTAATCTAGAGGCCTTTGCCCTTCATATGAACCACTTCTGATACCAAATGATCAACCAGAAGTCAAGTTATTATTTGTTGTTACTAAAACTTGACTTTTGTTAATACCTTCAAAGCTATTAAGAATAAAAGATTAGTGCACGAGGATTGAGCCCTACCAAATGTAACTCAATGTATGGGTCTGCACACGCCAAACATTTCCTCTATAGAACAAGCTTAACCAAACCTTCCATTTAGTTTGCTTCTAATCTCTTTTCTTTATAGAAGAAGCAAATGAGATATTACACGTTGTATGACTTCCTACAGCGTCCAGAAGACAGAAGCAGAAATTAAAAGCAGAAAACCCCCAATGACTGCAGACGAGCTTCAAAAGAGTGACAGAAAGCGAAAGAGAAACAGGCAATCGTCCTGAAATGAGACGCATGAGCGCATTGGGGAACGCTGCAGCTGCCTGTCCATGTGAAGCGGGTGTTTCTGTGAGGGCCATTTTGCAGGGAGACGAAACAGAGCACTTATTTGAATTACAGATATTAAAATGCCAGGCCTGCTTGTACGAGTCAGGACGGGACTATTGATCCCAGATGGTAGTGCGAGGGCCCACGCCAGAGCTTTCCAGCGACGAGGTAGAGGCATCAGGACTATTACGCGTATGAGAAAGAATTCATGCATGTATCTGTTCGTACGCGTTTGTCTGGATGAATCAAACTCTGCAGCACCTAAACCAAATTCTGAAGTAACGTCAACCTGGCCACACACCGTCAAGCCTTGCTGATGGTTCGCGAGTTTGGCAGTAATGAGCTTTTGTTTGGTGTTTTCATAAGGCGGTGGAATGTGCTCCCTGATGTGTATCTGGCTGCGCTTAATGCAGAACAGAACTCAACAAGGTGAAATGACTCATTGAGATGTCCCGAGTACAGGCAAAGGCTGGGTGCAGAAGTAGGACAGTCTTCCACTAGAGGGCAGACTTTAACTTCAGAACCAACTCCGGCTTGTTGCCATGGCTTCAAAACATATTTAGTGCATGTGTGTGTGTTTGTGCACGAGTGCAAGCTCGTACCTTTTCTCCGAGGAGCTACAGGCCTGGTTCAGCTCACTATTGGAGATGAAGTTCCTAATCTCTGAGAAATACGAGTCCTCCTTCTCATCCAAAAGTGCATGATTGTCAGACTCCGAGTTGGGGGAGGAGATATTTGTTCCTAAATTCGAGAGGATCCCAGACTGTTGACTCACTGTGATAAACAGATAGACAGCTTAGTATTTTAGCATTAACTTAATCACATGAGGGGGAAAAAAAGAATGAAATTAAAGGAAGTTACCTGGAATATTCTCATGTTCGTGTTTCTTTAAGTGGCGGTCCAGATTGGTCTGTTGACCGAAGCAGCGATTGCAGAGGTGGCACTTGAAAGGCTTTTCCTTGTTGTGAATGTTACGAACATGTCGCTGGAGGTTGGAGGAGATGCTGAATGAACGGTCACAGTATTTACATCTGTGAAGAAGAAACACAACAGTGAGAGATTTCAGTTGGTGTGAAAACACATTTCAAAAGCCATTGGATGTGATTAAACCAATTTGGTGCCAATTGCATAAGTATAAATCTAATGTATTCCATATATATAAGCTGCCATTTTAGACAAGACATCCATAATAATCAATCATTCGTTCATTTTTATTCGGCTTAGTCCCTTTATTCATTTGGGATCACTACAGGGAAATGAACTGCAACTTATCCAGCATATGTTTTACAAAGCGAATGCCTTTCCAGCTGCAACCCAGTACTGGGAAACACCCATACACACTCATTCACACACATAAACTACAGCCTATCTAAACTACAACTATCTTTGGACTGTGGGGGAAACCGGAGCACTCAGAAGAAACCCACGCCAACATGGGGAGAACATACAAACTCCACACAGAAATGCCAACTGACCCAGCCAGGTCTCGAACCAGCGCATTGAGGTGACAGTGCTAACCACTGAGCCCCCGTGCTGCCCCACATTTCAAAATATTTGGAGACAGACTCCACTTAAGAGGCTATGGCAGAAAGCTTTGCAGTTAGGAGTGTGTGATATGATGAGTTTTGATTATGGACGATTCAAATATTAGAAATAAAATTAATAAAAAAGAAACTGTAGCATCAAGTTTCAGTGCCTCTAGTCTCAATGTAGGCCTTCTGTAACTCAACATAAATTTACATCAAATAGCACATTTGCCTCATAACAAAAAGGTCGCTGGTTTAAGCCTTGGCTGAGCCAATTGGCATTTCTGTGTGGAGTTTGCATGTTCTCCCCATGTTTGCGTGGGTTTCCTTCGGGTGCTTCAGTTTCCCCCACAAGTCCAAAGACATGCGGTACAGGTGAATTGGGTATGCTAAAGTTGACCGCAGTGTATGAGTGTGCGTGAAGGAGTGTGTGTGTTTCCCAGTTATGGGTTGCAACTGGAAGGGCATCAGTTGCGTAAAACATGTGCTGAATAAGTTGGCGGTTCATTCAGCTGTGGCGACCCCAAAATAATAAAGGGACTAAGCTGAAAAGAAAATAAATAAATAAACCAAATAGTGTGGCACGGAAAGTGGTAAGCTCTGTCGCCTCACTGTAAGAAGGTCGATGGTTCAAGTACTGGGTCAGTTGGTATTTCTGTGTGGAGTTTGCATGTTCTCCCAGTATTGGCGTGGGTTTTCTTTGGGTGCTCCGGTTTACCCCCACAGTCCAAAGACATTGGATTAACTAAATTGGCCCATGCCAACATGGGGAGAACATGCAAACTCCAAAAAGAAACTTCAACTGGTCCAGCCGGGACTCAAACTAGCGACCTTCTTGCTGTGAGCCAACAGTGCTAACCACTGAGTCACCGTGCTACCCCCAAAGGTTTTAATTATGTCAATATTTGACACTCTTTGTGCTGCTGTTGTTGACAAGCACTAACTATTGATAGCAGGAAAATGTCATCTGCTCAATCAACTGTTGGATTAGCAACATTCTTCAAAATAATGTGTTTAACAGAAAACCGAAACTCATTCAGGTGTAAAACAACTTTAGAGCGAGTAAACGATGACAGCATTTATATTTTTGGGTCAACTAAAATATAAATCATTGTTTTTTTTCATTCAGTTTCTTAAATGATGCTCCTAAATACACCTACTCTACCTGAAATGACCAAAAATTCAGCTCTTCCTAAATATTTTATATTATACTACCTTACAAGGCTTTGTTTTACATAGTAAGGACATTAGTTTGGCTGTTCTTCTCAGACAACTTGCAGAACAGCAAACTCAACATCCCAAAGAATCATAATAAAATTGAGCATTGTGACAAAAATCATGTTAATATTTTCATTCATTCATTATTCTTCTGCTTAGTCCGTTGATTAATCAGGGGTCGCCACTGCGGAATGAACCGCCAACTTATCCAGCATATGTTTTACGCAGTGGATGCCCTTCCAGCTGCAACCCAGTACTGGGAAACACCCATACACTCTTGCATTCACACATTATGGCCAATTTAGTTTATACAATTAACCTATAGTGCATGTCTTTGGACTGTGGGGGAAACCCGGAGCACCTAGAGGAAACCAACGCCAACATGGGAAGAACTCCACACAGAAAGGCCAACTGACTCAGCTGGGACTCGAACCAGAGACCTTCTTGCTGTGAGGCGACAGTGCTAACCAATGAGCCACACTAAAATGTACTTAAAATAAATATTACTTATAATTGCACCTTATTTTGATACTCCTGATTTGTATGTGATGTGCTAGCTTGTCATCGCGGTTCAGCTTCCATCGCCGGCTCTCTATGACTAACTTGTTTGTGATGTCAGATCAGCCAGAATAGGCAGGAGAACATCAATTTAATGTGCTGATAAACAAACAGCGCAGAGCGGCAGTGTCAGGAGTTCGCCGGACAGTGCCTCCTTTGTTGGGTGGCTTAGACTCCTGCGGTCACTGCAAAGTTGACTTTCAGGGCTAATTGCTTTGGGAAAATCGCTCGTCATCAAGTGCTCAGAATCAAGATGCAGGCCCCTTTTCATGTTCCAGTTTATTTTGCGAACAAATGTGTGTGTGCGCTTCTGTACGAACCCATTTTCCAGACTTGGCACATCATGGTTCATAGAGAATGGTAAAACGCCAAGACATCGCCTCCCCTCCCAATCCTCCCAAGTCTTTTCTACCCCCCATTTTGTTTATTTTCATTCCTTGGTCCAGAGGGACTTTAAATTACTTCATCATCTCGGTTCTTTTTTCCTCTGTAACAAGGACTGTACATGAAGCGTTACAATCCGAATGGGGTCTTTCAATGGTCAGACCTAGTGGGCCAATTTCGCTGCGAAGAGTCGCTGATAGCATCTACAGCAGGCAAATAACCTACTACAATGAAGCCCGAAGCCGGCTCGCTCTGATATTGACCTGACTCTGCCTTTTTCTGCTGAAAGTAAGATGGGGAGATCCTGATGATGTCTGCTATTTGTTAGGGTAAATTGTTTCTAAATGAGCTAATCAGGGGATTGTTGTGAAGGAGCCAAGCATGTACCGCTTGTGTCCCAAAGGACGCTCTCTATCTCGTTGAGTGTGTTCACAGAGCTCTATGGTAGATTGGGAGAACTCAAAGAGGGGTCTGATTCCACCTGACCTTTATTGTACGCTAAGGAAAACTTGTGTGAAACCGAGGTTAGAAAACCTAGCGCTAAAAATAATACGACCAAAAATATTTTAGAAGGAAACAATTCAGATATCTGGGCGACACGGTGGCTCAGTGGTTAGCACTGTTGCCTCACAGCAAGAAGGTTGCTGGTTCGAGTCCAAGCTGGGCCAGTTTGCATATCTGTGTAGAGTTTGCATGTTCTCCACATGGGTTTCCTCCGGGTGCTCCAGATTCCCCCACAGTCCAAACACATGAGCTAAGGGTGAATTGAATAAACTAAAGTGGCCGTGTATGTGTATGTATATGTGTGAATGAGTGTGTATGGGTGTTTCCCAGTACTTGGTTGCAGCTGCAAGGGCATCCGCAGCGTAAAACATATGCTGGATAAGTTAGCGGTTCATTCTCTGGTGACCCCTGATAAATAAAGGGACTAAGCCGAAGGAAATATATCTAAATTTGTAGTTTTTTTTGAAGTGATCCCAAAAATGACAATCAATGATTATTTACTCTTGTCGTTCCAATCCCCTGAGACCTTCGTTCATCTTCGGAACACAAATTATGATATTTTAGAAGAAATCCAAGAGCTCTCTGATTTTCCATAGACTCAAACTCAAAAAGATACCAAATAAACATCCTCAAAAGAGTGCATGTGTCGTCAACGGTTCAATCGAAATATTATCAAGCTACGAAAATACTTTTGTGCGCACATAAAACAAAAATAACGACTTTATTCAGCAGTTTCTTTTCCTCAGTGTCAGTATATTGCGCACTTTGCACTAATGTATACCGTGGATGCCCACATGTGATATTCTCAGGTGTTTGTATCTCAGGCAGAGATGTCCAAACTATTGCCAGGGTTCATAATTTAATGTTACTTTTTTGTTTGTTTGTTTTGTTTTATTACTGAGCTACAAAATGGCAAACTGAAAATAAATGTTTTAATTAAATAATGTAAAAGATTTTGTTTTTTTTTTATAGAATTATTGGTAATCACTCAACAGATAAAGGACAATGCAGAAGACATTGGCAAGCAAATCAGGGCAAAAAACAGATGCAGCTTGACTAGCATAACTCCATTCTGTTATAAATAGTTTTTTACTGTAATAAGTGTATTATAAAATTTCAAATATACTACATTAGTTAATATAAAACAATGTTTTTTTAGTTCTAATTTTCTAGGAAATCACCAATGGCAACTTTAATAAAGCTTAGTATATTTACCTTTGACCTTCAATCAAGTTTGGCTTTTGGCCCTTCATATGAAAAAGTTTGGGCACCCTTAATCTCAAGTACACGTCAGCATATTGAGAGCACAGCCCTCTTTTAAATGTGCGCCCTATACTGACACTGAGGAGAAGAAACTGACGTTATTTTTGTTTTATGAGCCCACAAAAGTATTCTGGTACTTTAATAATATTCCAATCAAACCACTGAAAGCATACGCTATGTTTTTAGATTTTTAAGAATGCTACTCTAAGGATATCTCTTGGAATTCACTTAAAATATGTACATTTGTATTTTGAAGGTAAATAAAGGTCTCAAGCCTCATTCACACTATGAGTGACTCGCAGCAGCAAAGTGACAAGCGACCATTCATTTCAATGGAGAGCGAGCGACTTCTGGCGACCTCCATCTATGTGAGTGACAGTGACTGTCGGCGACCAGGTGGGCATGTCGAGCCATGCAACAAAGTTGAGAATCCTTCATCTTTATGCAATAAAAGAGTGACTTTCTTGAGCGACAGCCAATAGGAGCACCAGTTGATCCTCTCTCAGCTCGCTCACAGGCCGGTTGTATTCTCCATGCTGTAGACCTACAAAGACCTTTGCAGCAGGTCGCCACCCAGAGCGACAGGCACCTACAAAGTCGCTGATAGTGCAAATGAGGCATCAGGTGTTAGGAACAGCAAGAGGATGAGTAATTATTTTGGGGTGAACTCTTACTTTGAGAAAAGGTAATTACTGCAAGCTTGGCAAAAGTTGGTGCCATGATACTACAGTGTTCTTGGTTGTCATCAATGTTAGATAACCAATATGTGGTTGGTAAACTGTTCTGCTTATTTGCTATAGCATTGCAGGTTATCTGGATTGTTGTTAGATGTTTGCTTCTATCAAGTCTCACCATTAATGTTAATGGAATTTTTTCTTGATCTATAAACCGTGAAGCAAACATCATAAAGTCTATTTGCTTAGAAATGCAATAAGGCAAAACTGCAAAATATGGCATCTATTTTGATGGTCCTTGCGCAGAGCGCAAAACGCAGGACGCAAACGCTTTCAGGGTGTGTCAGAACACATTTTTGCTAATTTAAGGACGGGAAAATCCGCTTTGCGCTGTGGCGCATGGTCTAAAAGGGTTGAGTTTATTTTCTTAATGAGTTATAGGTGTGTTTTGAGAATAAACCAATCAGAGTATCATCTCCCATTCCCTTTAAGAGTCAGCTGCGTCGCGCCAAGAGCGCATTCACTATTTACAGGACGTAAAGTAAGTCTAAGTGGAAAATCTGAGCATTTCACTTGCAAACAGTTAACAGTTTTTTAACAGAAAACTGTTAAACAGAGCATCTACTGCGTGAGAAAGAGAGATAATGGATCTACTTTCACATTCGCTCTTGGATAGGGAAACCTTTACGCACAGACATCAATTAGTCTATAAATAATTAATTGCGTTTGTTAAGTGCAAATATTTGTTTCAAAACTATTTCTAAATTCAGTTCTAATTTCCAGCAAACGAATAAATGAACAATAATAACGAAGTGTGCTCAAAAACCTGAGTTATATCCTAAAACACATGCTGTGCCCCATATAGTCTAAAAACTGACAAGTGGGCAAATCTAAGCTTGTTTTAATAAAACAAATATAAATATGGATATAATAAATAATAATAATAATAATAATAATAACATTATAAGAAAAAAAAAATGGTAATGAATGAACAGAAAAGGCCTTCCAAGATGAAGAAGACATAAAAGCAGTGATTTTTCATATTTATGTAGGCTGGAAAATAATATGTTTTGTAATATTTTAATACTTTATATTTGTATCCTATATCTATTCTTATTATATCTTATATATATCCTTAATATTAAAATTTTTTCATATGTAAAGATATTTGCCTATTGCTCTCTTGTGCGTATTAAGCAGTGCGTAAGCGAGGCGCAACTCTGCGCCGGAGTTTAGACCGGGTTAGTTTTGGTCTAATGAAAAATCTATTTTAGTTTCTCAAAATAGCAACGCGCCAGCAGTGCGCCTCAGAACGCCTTCCTTTTTAGACCAGAACGCCTATGGGCGCACATATGAGTGCTAATGCATTTGCTGTTTAAACAGCGTAGCGCAACGCCTCAAAACGACTCTTGCGCCAAGCTGAAACTACCAAAAGACAATTGCGTCGCGTCTTGCTCCACACTGCGCCGGGTGTATATTAGGGCCCTATGAGTTGCATGAACAGGTTGCATGTCAAAGTTTATTACTTACAGTTAAGGATTTGTTCAAATCCCTAACTATGAGTCCGCTTGCCCTTGGAAGCACCACTATTAAGAGATTTTCTCTGATATTTGACTTTTCTTACTTGAATCTGCTCAAATTGTGAACTCTTATGAAGCCTTTGGCAGTAAAAGTCTTTTTTTTTCTTTCACGTCTTAGTCAGGCTTGAGTCAAAATATCATTTAAAAAGCCCCCCGTCTCCAAAGTGCCCTCATCACCCTCATGGAGGACTTTCCACAGCTGGTTAGAAGCCAAATCAATGATAATTAAGCCGTTCTATAAACAGAGCATGGATGTCTCCAGGGTGCTATTACCAGCCAACATTGTCCAGAGCTTGCTTTACCTCCAAAACATCTGCACAGACAGAATCAATCTTCTTTCTTTTTTGATCGCGCTGCCTCTCATGTCTCATGTCTTTCATTGTTTCCCTGTGATATTTCTCAGAATACATTGCTTGTATGGCAAGGTAATGTGCCAGAACATATCTCACATGCTGTCCACATAACTTAAAATTTGTCCATGTGTGTGTGTGTGTGTGTGTGTCTCCATGTATGCATGCAATCTATTTTTTTTATGTTTTGGAAAGTAAAAAAGCAGGTGAGACTCAAGCAGGGACAAAAGTTTTGGATAATAAACTGATATACAGATTTTAGGCTATATTGTGTTTGTTGCATTAGTATGTGGCATCTAACCAAGTCAAAGTTACGATATTCTTTAAGGTCAACGTCAAACTATTTAAACAAACTTTGAGTCTGTTTCGCCTCAAAGGTAGAAAGCTTAAGAATTTCAATACTGAATTTGTGCAGGTTTGTGTGTGTGTGCAAGAGTGATGGTCTAAAAGTGGCTTACCTGTAGGGTTGTTCTCCTGTGTGTGTTCGTAAGTGCCTTGTAAGATTAGCTGACCTGGGAAAGATTTTCCCACAGTACCTGCAAAGCATGAAAAGTAGTCTTTGATACAGTCATCTCGAATTGTTCCAGCTATCATATTCAGAGAGTCAGGACACATTTATTGTACATTTTTGATAAGTAATACAACTATCGGAGTACTGGTAAGATCTCCATCATGTGTGTATTAGTGTGGGATATAACGACATGATAGAAGTTCTTTAAGTTGTAGAGTTAAAGAAATCCTTTAAGGATGTGTTTACTCTCGTTTCGTGAGCAGCACTCACCTGCAGGTGTATCGCTCCTTGCCTTTGCGTAAGATAGCATCGGAAAGAGAGGGAGGCGGAGAGCGGAAGTTAAAAAGGTGGTGTGAGGAGTGCTGGAGGGAATTGGGAGCATCCAGTTTCAGAGCGCTAAAGCTTTCCAACTTCTCAGTCATGTTTTCCATCGCAGACACCTGAGGAGAGAACATGAGGCGAGTTCAGAGAGGAATACTCTGTGTTTGATGCGCAGCTCAGGGGCTTATTCAATCGGAAACTTCTCTCAGATTGATTCTGTTTGAGATTAGGGTCCATCTGGGATTGAGAAACTTTTTTTTTTTTTGCATTTGTTTAGGGCAGGTACACGAAGAACAAAACAACAGCAGTGGCGAAGAGCTCTGACATGGAGTCTGGGAGCTTGCATTATAACCAGACAGGATGGAAAGCTGGAGGAAGTTATATATCAGAAGGTCGAGTCTTGATTGTGCTGTTCAAGAGTGACCTCCCTAACCTATGGCACGTTGGCAGCCACTCGAGCAGCCCCCTGGGAGCCCCCGGCTCCTACTTTGTTCCCAACAAATCTCTGAGAGAAGCGTCTGAATGAGCCATTCACCTCCGTGAGCGGTAACCATACAATGCAGTTTAAGATACCCCTCGCTGATAGTACTTCCCCGTTGCAGAACAAAGGCTTCGCTATGTGGCTCTATGGCCAAAAACAGCTTACATCCTTCCTACTTTAGGAATATGGATAGACAGAGACAGACAGTGTGTTTTCATTTATTCATGCATGTCTATGTATCACTGTGATTCTGTCTGTGTTTTAGTTTATAGGTAATTTTGTTTATGATAATGCTTTTACCTTTTAAAACTCTTGATTACACATGAGCTCTAAATTGCCTTTAAATTAATAAATAACCAACTTTCCATACATGGATGTAGATATACTGTATAGACAGACAGACAGACAGGCAGAGATATAGACATAGACGATAGATAGATAGATAGATAGATAGATAGATAGATAGATAGATAGATAGATAGATAGATAGATAGATAGATAGATAGATAGATAGATAGATAGATAGATAGATAGATAGATAGATAGATAGATAGATAGATAGATAGATAGATAGATATGATCTTTATGAGACAAAATACTGTACTAATATTGTAAAAAGTGAGAGAAGGTTTGGAGTTGGGGGAGGTAGGTCAGCATTGATGGAGGCCAGATTTACAGGTCAGATAAGACAGTTCCCAACAAGAGAGGCCATTCTATTACACACAAACACAGGAAGTCCCTGATCGACATGCAGACATTATCTAGGCAGCCAGAGCAAGAAAGAAATGCTAGGAAGTTGTTAGTGGTGGGACTCAACGGAGAACTTCCCAGAGACAATGGTCTACTCTGAAAGTATGTGGCATAATTTTGTTTCAATTCAAAAGGGCCATTATTAATAATATTTTCATTATTGTTGTCACCGTTCAAAGGTGGGAAAGGTTTTAAATACTAACACAAACAATGGGGGGTTGTTTTTCTAAGCGAAAGATAAAGAATTCTGAATGCACAGCATGCAAGAACAGGCAATACCCCTTTTGAGATTATCTTCATGATGAAAATAATCTAATGAAAATAAATACCATCAGATTTCCCAAGGAAGTCTAAAATCTAGGGCACTAGGAAGGTGTTTTTGATGTCTTAGAATAATCCCCTGTACTTGCAATAATAAAGAGCAGAATTTTTTACCAAGGGATCAGAACAGGTAAAACAAATGTATAGAAAGAATACCTGAGGATGGAAAAGTAGTGGCGTCGGTCTCAGGTACTTCTCCTTCAGAGCTCCTACTGGGTCTAATAACTTCCTCTTTTCCACCCTGCTGGACAACAACACCAAGGGTTACGTACGAACGAAGGTTGATTGCAAATATCAATACCTTCTCAATATTTTATTTCATTTAAATATATCACAAGCTCTAGTGTTAGGTTGTGCTTATATTGGCTTTTACTGTATATTAAGACATACTCGGGTTGAAATACCTGTAAATAGGGTCCATGAAGAATGGCGAGGGCTTGGCATAGTGAAGCGATGGCTGCTGCTGGGGAACAGGTGGCTGGGGGAGCGATGTATGCTGCTGAGGCATTTGGGGCTGGTGCAAGTTCTGATTTAGTGCTGGGTGTTCATCTTTAGCTGCTTTGCAGTTTGTGCCATAGACGTGATTCTTGCGCTGTTCATGTGTGCCACCATTGTGGCTGGCTCGGCTTCGACTGCCTATGCTGAGGTCCAGAGGTTGCTCCTCGCCGGAGGCCAAGAGAGCATTGGATGGCAAGGCTGGCTTACTTGGGGGAGGTGGAAGAGGCTTTATCTCCTTGGGTTTGGTGGTTAGGTCAAAGGGTGAATCTGCACCAGTGGCCGTATGTAATTTCTGTATGTGCTCACGAGGGGATTTAGGCTCAGGTTTGAAGAACATGCCAGGATTGAGTGCTCTGTCTGTAAATGGGTACAAGGAATGTGGGAAGTTGGGCAGAAACTGGAAGGGGAACATGGAATGGTAATTTAAGGAGCCCATCTTCTTCTCCTGCAAACCCATGAAGCCTGGGCCAAAATACTTTTCAGCAATGGAGGCAATGGCTTTAATGGAGTCAGTGGTGGCCCCGGAGGGTGGAAGTGCCTGCTCTTCTGGTGGTGGGAAAAAGGAATGCTGGGAAGAGAGGAAAGGACGCTCGCAAGGGAGGTTCCCTGAACTGGAGACAGATACCGAACTGCTGCTCACTTCATCCTGCTTGCTCTCCTGTGCTGGTTTCCTCCTACTCTTTTCTCGGTCGCTCTCTGCCTCACTTTCTAGGTCAGAGCCAGACACCGTGCCAGTGGTGGTGTCTAGATCTGTGCCACTGGATGTGTTAACATCTTCCAAGTCGCTACCGTCGGACATGTCGTTCATCTTCACTTTATTCTTGTTTTCTGTAAATGACAAGTCCAGTTTGGACTCTCGATTTTCTTCCGACTGGCTGCTGAGACTACTCCCTATGTTGCCATTGCTGTTGTTCATTGACGAGGCGACAGAAAGAGCAGGAGCATCAAGATGGGGCAGTTTCCCATCTTGACTGTTATTAAGTGGGCTCTTGAGAAGTGAGCTAGGAGGTAACAATGGTGGTCTAGGATATAGTGATGGGGGAAAGATCCCTGGAAATCCATGGGAAATGGCTGGGAATGCAGGTGGTCCTGGGGAAAAGGGTAAACCTGCATGATGTGGCCTGGATGGGAAGTAATCACCAAAGCCAAGTCCACTATGGTTCAAGCCAGGATGAGACTTGGACTTGCCTAAAATAGGACTGGATGTCATTGGTATGCCCGGTGTGAATATGCCTCCGGGATTATAATGGTTCTTTCCCTCGCAAAAGCGCCGGTGCTTGTTGAGGGAGGAGGTAGTGCTGAACATCTGCCCACAGTCTTTACACTTGATCTGGGTGCGGCAGTCTGCATGCATCCGTTTGTGACGGCACAGGTTAGAGAACTGGGTATACGATTTGTGACACACCTCACCTGGGAGAACACACATGACTGATTAATTCTATTAACATACTGTTTTAATTTGGTAGCAGTGATAATTCAGCAGCTGATTAGATCAACCAATAAACTCTGCATGCTGTTTATTATGATCAACAATCATGACACTGTCTACATCGGGGTGGTCAACCCTGCTCCAGGAGGAAACCTTCCTGAGAAAAATAAGTCCAATCCTTAATAAACACACCTGAAACAGCTTATCAAGGTGTTCAGGATTACTTTATATGAAATTGACCCCTATATGATCATTCACTATTCCCTAATATAGTCCACTTAAAGGAGTTGATGAAAGCAAGTGAGTGTATTCGAGTACCATCGATTGCCCTTTGTTTGTTCTTTAGTAGTTGATAAATCATTCAGATGGATTAGATTCTTGTTCAGACCCTACTTGTTGAGCTCTCACAAGTAATGATATACTATTTTGAATTCAGTTTTGTATGAAGACATTAATTCAACAATTAAATTGTAATCTATTTAAAAACTTCCACCGGCAGGATTCGACTGTGGATTCCAACTTGTCGTTAAATTAGGAAATCCCTTTGGGATGGGAACTTTCATGCTGTATTATGGTTATTCTCCAGCCGTTGAGTGTACATTGATTGTAAGCTCATCACTGCAGTGCATTGTAGGATTGATTGAGTGCACTTCAGATTGTCCACTATGGTTTGGAACAGGGGTGCCCAGAGTTGATCCAGGAGGGCCAGTGTCCTGCATAGTTTAGCTCCAACTTGCCTCAACACACCTGCCTGGAAGTTTCTAGTATACCTAGATAGAGCTTGATTAGCTGGTTCATGTGTGTTTAATAGTGGTTGAAGCTAAAATCTGCAGGACACCGGCCCTCCAAGACCAAGTTTGGGCACCCCCGGTTTGGGACATTATCACAAATGGCTTAAATAGTGTACTGTTTTAGGGTATAGACTTATTTCAAGCGGCCGCTATTTTAAACAGCGGAATCGAAGCTGCGGTGGGAAGAAACCCGGAAGTATCGCCTGAGTCACAGAGAAATGTTGTGTACCTGGCTGTATATCTTATCAGCGAAGAGAAAGAGATATAAATTTTTCATTTTACCGCCTTCTGAGTGACCCGAAGGTATGTTCTGAATGAGTAGTCAAAATAAAAGGGAATATTGGACCTCATTTTCAGCTAAGTTAAGGGAAATGGCACTAGTTGGCTAACGTTTTCTTTCCCAAACACACGTTTTAGATGCCATTTATCAAACTCAAATTAATGAACTGATTCTTTCACTATATTAGACTCATCACAATACAAAATTTCGGTAATGAAATGTAAAAAAAAAAAAAACGACCTTTATTGTTAACATTTAAGGCACTGTTGATTCTTAAACAGCGCTGATTTGCCATTGTGTTCACATGCTCAACAGAAATGACTGTGACTGGTCGTGAAGGTCATCACTTCACCACACTTCACTGTGAGTGCAAACACAGAGAGCGATTTGTTGATGAATCGACTGATCTTCACGGCTTTAAAATGCTCCAATGTCCGTCTATCTGTATTTGCAATCTGTCAAGAGCAGTATACTGATGACCTTCACGGGCGATTACAGTCATTTCTGTTGAACACTGGTGAATACTATGTCAAATCCGCGCTGTTTATGAACAAGTTCAGCTGCGCTTGAATGTTAGCAGGAAATGGACGTTTTTAAAAGTTCAGCCAACAATATTACAGACAACACGAGGATGTGCTACAGAAGACTGCATTGTTTAATCGCTCACCGGGGTACATAGGCAGGAGCAGGAGAACGTCCCCACAGTGTTTACCTGCTGTCATGAGCTAAAGCCTAGCGTATTACTCTTAAGAGATTGTGATGCTGTTTGATGGCTAATATGCTTTTAATTGTTTAAATTAAACTAACTGAATGATATTAAAGTGGTGTTTACACCATATCTGTGTTTTGAAATCGCAGCACCACCTGGAGGTTTGTAGTACACAGCATGTTACTGCAATGTTTACAGTGCTAATCCTATACTTCCGGGTTTCTTCCCACCACAGCCTCGCTTTCGAGTTTTAACATGGCGGCCACGTGAATTAAGCGTATAGGAGACAATTCCGAATTCAGTGGTTGAGAATTGCAGGCATTTTGGAACTGAAGTCTGCAGGAAGGTAGGCCTCAAGAAGCAGGGTTGGCTACCTTGGTCTACATTGAACTCTACTGTGTTTTGAAGGTAAGATTAAAAAAGGCTACACACAGTAATGCTACATGGTAAAAATATGATAAATTAGCATATTGATAACTCATCGATAAGATTCTTCATTAATAGTAGAGCTATTTCATACAAACACATGTACACTGGTAGAGCATACATGCATTTGGACATCGGACGGTAACACACAGTAAATTGTGAAGCCAAGCAATAAATAAATAAATAATAAATAAATGATAAAGATGGTGTTTTCTCAGCATTGGTATGAGGGCAGCTACGATATGGCAAAGACATTTACCGCTTAACATTAATTCTGGCCATTTACAAGCCAAACGGGCCCTCGAAAGAAAAATTGCACCAAAAAAAAAAGAAGATAGGTAAAATGGAGTAATTAAGAGAGCGAAAAAGAAAGCACAAAAGAAAAGCGCAACAAATGTAGAACAAAACAAAGAATGGCTCTAGAATTTCATTTAGTTTCTCTGACCTATAAAACAACAGCTGTCACAATCTTGGGGTGGAGCTAGCCGGGAGGTCTTTGGACACTGGTAATTGTATCTGAGGCTTAGACAAGACTGCTCAGACTTACAGCTGAAAGGCTTGACACTGCTGTGTATGTGCTTGTGCTGCTTGAGGCCCGAGGAGGTGGCAAAGGTCTTGCCACACTCAGGGCAGGTGTGGGCTCGGGCACCGACGTGCTGAGAGCGGATGTGGCGTTGGAGGTTGCTGGGGTCTGTGAACACCTGAAGAAGACGCACAAAAGTGACAACTTAGTGCCAGGTATAAAAACTGTATACAAATCGATCACAATTTGACGGCAAAAAAATTCATTGGATTTACTAAAAGAATTTAAGGTACAGTGAGTGGTTGCAAACAATTGATATGGACTGAATTTGATCAAACACGTTAAATTGAATAATGTTCAATTTAATAAGTTAGTTTAAATTCAACCACCGCTAAATTTAAATTGCAACCACAATATTTTAATTTAGATTAAATTGAATCTAAATTGCAACCACTTACTTTAAAAAATGTAGTAAATCCAAATGAATCATGGTTTTCAGTACAGACAAAACAAACCAAAAAAGAAGTTTAATTTATTTAAATCTGAAGCACGTGGCTGATCAGGGTTGCTGCAGGTTTCACCAAGTTGAATTTAAGACTTTTGAAGACATTTTTAACACCATTATGGATTCAATTTTAGACTCATCATTTTTCAAATGGTCCAGATGGAAAAGATTTTGATTTGCCCTATCAAAAATAGTTATTATACTTTAATACATTTAATAATACAAAATAAAATATTTATTTTATTTTTTTTAATATATTTCTTAGCAAAATATTTTAAATATTTTGTAAAAATAAGCATGCGCTGATCGTATTCATAGCCTTTTTTGCCAACAAACTTTCTGTAATATATATTGTTATGTCTTTGTTTCCCAAACAACGACATAACTCCTGGCTGAACTATCATAGTACAATGCATCATTTGGGAAAAGAACAGTTTAGTGACGAGAAACCCATAAACCCATAGTTTCTCTGTTGCAGATTCATTGTTTGAACCAAGTTAGTTATAACGTAAAACTTCCATAATGATGCTCTAAACCGGGCGGAGTAACAACTTCTTAAGAGAAGAACCTTATAATTTCTTTGTGCAAATTATATTGTTTTACACGCACACGCAGTTAAAAAAAATCCAATATTTGTTTTGGTAAGAACATGCACTCGCTTTCCATATAAATTAAAATATATTTAAATGGCTCATATAGAGCCTGTGTTTCCTTTACAAATATTATTGAGAACATTACATATTCTATTCTAAATTAACATAAAATCACTTACAAAAGCTAACACGTGTTCTAACATCATATATAAATCATATAAATATATAAATAATGAGGCTCTTTATTAAAAAATGAAATGTAATATTTATTATTTATTAGGAAATGAAAAAAATCTACTCTAATTTAATAATAATATTAATGATGATGATGATGATGATTTATTCATTCATTCATTCATTTTCTTGTCGGCTTAGTCCCTTTATTAATCCGGGGTCGCCACAGTAGAATGAACCGCCAACTTATCCAGCATGTTTTTACACAGCGGATGCCCTTACAGCCGCAACCCATCTTTGGGAAACATCCACACACTCATTCATACACACACTCATACACTACGGACAATTTAGCCTACCCAATTCACCTGTACCTCATGTCTTTGGACAGTGTGGGAAACCGGAGCACCCGGAGGAAACCCACGCGAACGCAGGGAGAACATGCAAACTCCATACAGAAACGCCAACTGAGCCGAGCCGAGTTGAGGCTAAGGTTTGAACCAGCAACCCAGCGACCTTCTTGCTGTGAGGCGACAACACTACCTACTGCGCCACTGCGTCGCAATGATGATGATTATTAATATTATTATTATTTATGAAGATGAGGGAGTGATGCTAGTCGGGCGTTTTATAGTGAGTTTGGAATAATCCAACTGGCTTACTAATGATTACAGATGAGACCGGCCGTGATCAGTGCTCCTCTCGAAATTAGTTTGTGAACCTTCACTAAACTCATTATGTCGAAATCTATGGGTATGTAATGTTTCAGTTTTGCACATATAAACTAAAATATGTAATCAAAAATACTCACACTATCACCCACCTTATCACAGTTTTCACACTCAAAGCGCTTGCCACTGTCATGTGACATCTGATGGCGAATGAGGTTGGATTTCCAGTTGAAAGCTTTGGGGCACTGGTCACACTTGTACTCTCTTTCTTCTGTGTGTACGATCATATGCTGCCCAAGACTAGAAATACATAAAAACACCATAAATATATACAGTTGAATTATTAGCACTCCTTTGAATTTATTATTATTATTTTTATTTCCCAAATGATGTGTAACAGAGCAACAGTATGTCTGATAATAGGTCTTTTTCTGGAGAAAGTCTTATTTGTGTTATTTTGGCTAGAATAAAAGCAGCTAAAAAAATTTGTTTTAATCATTTTAAGGACAAAATTATTAGCCCCCTTAAGCTATATATTTTTTCGATAGTCTACAGAACATACTACTGTTATACAATAACTTGCCTAATTACCCTAACCTGCCTAGTTCACTTAATTAACCTAGTTAAGTCTTTAAATGTCACTTTAAGCTGTGAAGAAGTGTCTTAAAATATCCAGTCAAATATTAATTACTGTCATCATGACAAAGATAAAATAAATCAGTTATTAGAGATGAGTTATTAAAACTATTATGTCTTGAAATGTGTTGAAAAAATCTCTCTGTTAAATAGAAGTTGGGGAAAAAATAAACTGGCGGGCTAATAATTCTGACTTCAACTGTATATATATATATATATATATATATATATATACATACATACAAAAGTCAGAATTATTAGCCCCCCTGAATTATTAGCGCCCCTGTTTTTTCCCCCCCAATTTCTGTTCTGTTCTGGGAAGATTGTTTCAGCACATTTCTAAACATAATAGTTTTAAAAACTTTATTCTTATAACTGATTTATTTCATCTTTGCCAAGATGACAGTAAATAATATTTGACTAGATATTTTTCAAGACAATTATATACAGCTTAAAGTGACATTAAAAGGCTTAACTAGGTTAACTAGGTGAACTAGGCAGGTTAGGGTAATTAGGCAAGTTATTGTGTAACGATGGTTTGTTCTGTAGATTATCGGAAAAAAAAATTAGCTTAAAGGGGCCAATAATTTTGTCCCAAAAATGTTTTTTTAAAAATTAATAACTGCTTTTATTCTAGCCAAAATAAAACAAATAAGACTTCCTCCAGGCGAAAAAATATTATCAGAAATACTGTGAAAAATTCCTTGCTCTGTTAAAAATCATTTGAGAAGTATTTAAAAGAGAAAATCAAAATCAAAAGGGGGCTAATAATTCTGACTTCAACTGTATATAAATATATATACAAATACACACACACATTTACACATTTATGTGACCACTAGGTAGGGGAAGAACGATGTTAAAGGGACAGTTCACCCAAAAACGAAACCAACTCACCCTAAATTGGTTGTAAAACTTTAAGAGATTCTATTTTCTGTTAAACACAAAAGAAGATACTTACGCTGAAAACTTAATCTCCACAAGTTTTCATCATTCTTTAAAATGTATTCTTTCATGTTTAACAGAAACTCCGAAAGGTTTGGAACAAGTAAAGTGTAAATAAATGATGAGCAAATTAACATTTATGTGTGAACTATCCCTTTAAATACAAACAATGCATAAGCATAATAGTATAATGACAATTATTGACTTCAAAAGCTGTCAAATCTATCAAATATAGCCAGATATACCATTTGTGGTGGCCTTTTCCTCTGCAGTGTGTGTGTGTGTGTGTGATGTTAATAATCCTTCACACTGTTTACCTACAGTATATAATTATAGTCAATTTGAATGTTTGATTTAAAGACATTTATGTTTGTCTTCGTAAGATAAACACACTGTATTAATCATGCACATGTTTACTGTACACACACACTTAACATACAGGTCTGTGACAAACAATTGGGTCACTCGTACAATGTTAAATATGGGTCTTAAACCAAAACGACTGACGTGGATTAAATATATTCTTCTATTATAAAATGCAAGCAGCTTGGAGTGTCCTGAAGCATGCTGGGTAATTACAGCATATGCGGTGTGCTGACCTGTACTCGCTAGGGAAGATCTTTTCACAGTCTTTGCACTCGTGCACCGGCTCATCGCTGTCTTCCCGCTCCTGCTTAAAGTCTTCGCTTAGCGAGTCAAAGATGGAGTTGCCGCTGCTGCAGGAGTATTTCTGGTGCCGCCGTAACTCCAGCTTCGACGTGAAGAGCTCATCACAGTGTTCACAGCGGTACATTTGCTCATCTGAAAGGGACGGCATCACATAATTGCTTATCACTGACATTTATAAAAGCAAGGTCTATCATTAAAGTAGGAGCTTTTCTGAATGGCATTACATTATCATATCAAGCTGATTTGTGTTTACTTAAAGAACGAAGACACACTTTTCCAGCAAGAGGTTTGAAATGATCTGAATATAATTACACTTTTCAGAATTGAAAACAAAAATATTGAAGCAGCTTTTAAGGGAGTTGTCAGATGTTAGTGGAACACGTTCATAGGCAATGTGCTGAAATTCACCTGTGGTTACACTCAATAATTCTACATATTCCCCATATTCACTGAAACAGCTGTTTGTTTATAACAAAGGTAGTTTGTTCTAAAGAAAATCCCTAGAAATATTTGTTTAAAGATGCTGTCTCATTAAAAAACACATGCTGTTATTTTTAGTGACAAAAAAAGTATGTAGAGTTGAAGTCAGAATTATTAGCCCCTTGTTTATTTTTCCCCCCAATTTCTGTTTAACAGAGAGATATTTTTCAACACATTTCTAAACCTAATAGTTTTAATAACTCATTTCTAATAACTGATTTGTTTTATCTATGCCATGATGACAGTAAATAATATTTGACTAGATATTTTTTAAGACACTTCTATACAGCTTAAAGTGACATTTAAGGCTTAATTAGGTTAACTAGGCAGGTTAGGGTAATTAGGCAAGTTATTGTATAACGATGGTTTGTTCTGTTGACTATCGAAAAAAATATAGCTTAAAGGGGCTAATAATATTGACTTTAAAATGGTTAAAAAAAATTAAAACCTGCTTTTATTCTAGCCGAAATAAAACAAATAAGACTTTCTCCAGAAGAAAAAAATATTATCAGACATACTGTGAATATTTCCTTGCTCTGTTAAACATCATTAGGGAAATATTTAAAAATGGAAAAAAAAGTTTAAAGGGGGGCTAATAATTCTGACTTCAACTATATATATAAATAAAATTTTACCAGATGACTTAATATCACAATTTGGAAAGAATTAATAATATTAAATTGATTATATTAGATGATTCTGCAGTGGGAGTGCATCTTTATACAATCTAATAAACAATCAATAAATTTTTCGGGGTTCCTTGACACATTTTCATTGTGGTGTGTGCTATTTGCAGTGCATTTCTATATTTGCATGTGTTGTGAGAATTTTCATGCATAACTATCTATAAAAACAATCAAGAAAAACATACAATTGAAATAAAGGGTGTAACAGTATTTAAGTACAGTAACTAATTGATAAAAATAAAAATAATTCAATAAAATTAATTATAGTTAAGGTCACAAATTGTACATTTTTTTATGTTTTTTATTTCAATCACAGGCATCAAAAACACATGCATATGATAATAATAACACAAATTCAAAATTGCATATATTCTGCGTAGTGACTTGCGAATAATCACAATGCGATATCTATAGGTCATATATATATATATATATATATATATATATATATATATATATATATATATATATATATATATATATATATATATAAAGTGCTCAGCATAATTCAGTACAGTACCCCATTTTGAAAATGAAGATTTTTATCCATTTCCCAATGAATAAAGCCAATTATATTTTGATGCATTTAAATATATTTAACAAAACAGATTTTTAAAACAGATATATTTATAAGAATAATACTTTAGTCACCAAACATATTTAGAAATTGAAAGGTAAGTCAATTAAATTTAGGAAAATATTGCAAAAAAGATTACAACCTACAAAATTTGTTAATTTTTTTGCTTCTCTTGATTTTTCCTTTTTTTTTAAAATTGTATTTAATATTTTTCTATAACATATAAATTTGGGTATAGTAGCTTTTGGAAAGTTATCGTAAGTTATTTTGTTAGATTAGCTCCAGGTTTGGCTTCAGTACTGACTAATCTAATATATATATATATATATATATATATATATTAGGGAAAATCTAATATTGTGATTAGTGTGAAAGAATAATGTGATTAGGCCTGTCACAATAAACAACATATATTTATCGACCTCAATAATGCATCGATAATTTTTGGTGATGCAATATATATCGCCCATACAAAACAACAACAACAAAAAAAAGACAATAGCAACATTTTAGCTGATTGTTATAATTACTATAATTAAATGTTTTATTTTTAAGAAAAAAACATCATGCGTAGTTTGGAAGAGTGTACCTGCATCTGGCATTATATAATGAGTGGCATTTTATGATAAAATGCAAAAAATGACAATAATATAATTTATTGCAAATATATTTTGGTGCAATATATAGATATCGTGACGGGTCTAATTGTGATATTTTGATCATCTATATATTGTGATATGAATACAATTTCACCAGATGACTAAAATAATTCTATTTATATACAGTTGAAGTCAGAATTATTAGCCTACCTTTGATTTTTTTTTCTTTTTAAATATTTTCAAAATTATGTTTAACAGAGCAAGGAAACATTCACAGTATGTCTGATAATATTTTTTCTTCTGGAGAAAGTTTTATTTGTTTTATTTTGGCTAGAATAAAAGAAGTTTTTAATTTTTTAAAACACATTTTAAGGTCAAATTTTTTCCGATAGTCTACAGAACAAACCATCGTTATACAATATCTTGCCTAATTACCCTAACCTGCCTAGTTAACCTAATTAACCCAGTTAAACCTCTAAATGTCACTTTAAGCTGTATAGAAGTGTCTTGAAAAATCTTTAGTCAAATATTATAATATTACTGTCATCATGGCAAAGATAAAATAAATCAGTTATTACAAATTAGTTATTAAAACTATTATGTTTAGAAATGTGTTGAAAAAATCTTCTCTTCGTTAAACAGAAATTGGGGGAAAAATAAATAGGGAGGCTAATAAATCAGGAGGGCTAATAATTCTGACTTCAACTGTATATGAATGAATTTATTGTGAAAAGTATTTATTTATTATTATATGAATACATTTTTGTATATAAACACTGAATTACTGAGTACATATTAGTGAGTGTCTTCTGTAAATCATATTCTATACATTTAATAAATACATATAACTGAGATTTTAAAAATGTAAAATAACTTTGGAAGATAAATAACAATTGACAGGTGTAAGATCACTTTAAATATGTTTAAATGTTAAGCTATAAATAGATCATAGTTTTCCTTTTTTCACTTGCGTTTGGTTCAAATGACCTGTTGTTAAATGTCTAAAATGTGTCTTTCTTATCATTTCTGATTTCTTGACAGAAGAGTCAAGTACACAGATAACCCTATAATGGAAAGACAAGCATCTAATGCGTTATCATAATCCTCAAGCCAAAGTTGATGAGTTCATTAAATTTTACTTCTTAAAAAAATCTGCATTGATGCTGTATTTACTGTATTACAAAACACATTTTGTTTGTTTGTTTGTTCCCCCCAATTGATTCTAATAACACAAACTAACAGAACACAATCCACGTTCATAGGTGTCCAGCAAAAAATAAACAAATATGTTGAACAGAATGGCCTTGTAACCTCAAAGAGGCCTTTACTTGGAAAACTAAAGTGGAAAAAAAATCAAACAAAAAAAGTCTGTGCTGATTTAATATCTTGTTTTTTCATCGAGAGAAGCCATAATATTACAATAAAAAAAAGAACTGGAGACATTATCTTTGCGTCCCATCAGTAGCACTAACGACAAAGGCAGGAATGTTGGGGAAAAAGACAGGGAATGGGAAACTAATAGCTCTTGGAGAGACGTAGGGGGAACACAATTATGTGCAGTTTAGCGGCTAATCTGTGAGCATGGGTGAGGTCCCTGGAGACTCCTCTAGCTCCACTCCAAATTCCACCACCGATAAGCCTTGAGAAGGACGCGGAGAGCTCTCGATCGCTCTCTCAGTCTGTCTGTTTGTCTGATTGACCATGTACTCTACGTTTCTTCCCTTTTGTTCACAGAATTGATCTGTCTGAGTGGTAGCCTGGCTTGCATCTCTTGGCGTCCCCGTCTCTCCTCAGAGAGCTCTGCTTCTTGCCTCTTTCTTTTTTTTTTTTTGGCAGGGAGATCTGAAGACACATCTCTATCAGATAAACTTTCAGCATGTGTTTGGAGAGCGACTGCTGCGCTGCGACACACTTCAGTGCTTTTGCAATTTTCTAGTCTGCATCAACTGCTCTGAGCTTCAATCGCAAAATTAGGAGATCACTCAGAAAGAGGGAAAACGATATAGATGAAGTTCACACATTGTAAACAATGCTGGGTTCAACACAATCGATTTGTTGGGACAATATAAAGGAATTAAGTTAGCTTATTCATTTTTACAAATTTAAGTAGAGTGAGCATAAAACAATTAGGTTGTCCTGTACAAAAACTCAAGATTTGTGTTGTTTCAGCTTATTTTAAATAAGTAGTTTGAACAAACAGCACACTATGAATACTCTTGCGTTCCACATAATCGATTTGTGTTGGAACAACATGAAGGAATTAAATTAGCTAGGTCATTTTTTTACAAATTTAAGTGGATTGAACATAAAACTGTTAAGTTGTGGTCCAAAAACTCAAGAATTGTGTCGTTTTAGCTCATTTAAAATAAGTAGTTTGAACAAACAGCCCACTGTAAATAAACTTGGTTTCCACACGATCAATTTGAGTTGGGACAAAATGAAGGAATCAAGTTGGCTAGTTAGTTTTTACAAATTTAAGTTGATTGAACATAAAATAATTAAGTTGTTCTTCAAAAAAGCTCTCAAGAATTGTGTTGTTTCGGCTTATTTTAGATAAGTAGTTCAAACAAACAGCACACTATAAATAGTTTTGGGTTCCATGCAATTGATTTGTGTTTGGACAACAAGAGTGAATTAAGTTAGCTTATTCATTCTTGTAAATTAAAGTGGATTCAAGATAAAACAATTAAGTTGTTCTTCAAAAAAGCTCAAGAACTGTGTTGTTTCAGCTTATTTTAAATAAGTAGTTCGAACAAACAGCACACTGTTATCATCTTGGATTCCATAAAATCGATTTGTGTTAGGACAACATAAGAAATTAACTTAGCTTATTCATTTTCACAAATTAAAGTAAATTGAACATAAAACAATTAAGTTGTTCTCCAAAAAAAAAAAAAAAAAAAAAAAAAAAAACTCAAGATTTGTGTTGTTTCACCTGATCTTAAATAAGTAGTTTGAACAACCAGCACACTATAATTACTCTTGGGTTCCATACAATCAATTTGTGTTGGGACAACATGAAGGAATTAAGTTTATTCATTCTTACAAATGTAAGTGGATTAAACATAAAAAATTAAGTTGTTCTCCAAAAAAATCAAGAATTGTGTTGTTTCAACTCATTTTAAATAAGTAGTGTGAACAACAAGTTTAAGGGTGCAAACGTCCTTTTTTGGGTGCAAGTGCTAACATTCTGAATTTACATACGCTGAAGCTACAAGTAACCACTGCAGATTTTAAAGCAAATATTAAAATGAAGAAATAATAATTTGGTAATAAATACACATTGTTTTATAATGCGATAAACTACAACATGTAGGACATTTTACAATGCTGTTTTTTCATTCTAATATTCTCCAGTACCAGTTGATTTGCCTCTGGCTTGAAATCTGCCGCACTTCATGTCTTCGATATTTCCCGACCTTTGTGTAGCACGAAGACATGCGTATAGTATCTGATGCTAAGTGTTGGCAGAGGTGAACGAGTGTGGTCTGAGTGAGTTTGTTTAAAAGAGTGCCTAATGACTTGCATTAATCTCACCTTCCAGGTTCGGTGCCATTGAGCCCTCGGGGAAAACTCCGTCCTTCATGTAAACCAGTAACTCCTCCCCTATTTCAATATCTCTAATAGCTTTATAATAGATCTGCAAAGAGAGAACAAAAAAAAAAAAAAACGGGTATGTTAAAAAACACAAATAAAATTTTTATTATATATTGAATATAATATATATGTATTAAATATTATTATTATTATTATTATCATCATCATTATTATTATCATCATCATCCATGTTTTCTAATGGCTTGAGATTTATTTTGAATAGCAACTGTAAACACATTAATATTTATAATTGTTTTTTGTATAGCGAATACAAAATAATAAAGCAAACAATTACAAAGAAGAGAATGAACAGATAATGTAGATACCATTACAAAGCGCATATGAAACCGCGACAGCCTAATTTACTACTCAAAGGCAAGCAAGATATGAATAAAAACACGCACAAAATAGCATTGCTTCAAATAAAACCCAGTAAATTTAATAGATACATTAATTAAATAATATAAATAGCATCTGAACTTTTGAATGTGGTAAAGACAGTGCGGGTTCAACCCGACATGGAATTCGTGCGTTCATGTGTTTTCCTTTTAAAACCGGTAAATGAATTAAATACCCCCAAAAATTTGCGTTTAAGGTTTTTAAATACTTTAAATAATGACTGATTATATTTTTGTGTTACACTTTTGTCAATATGTATAATAGATGTCCGTATAGCCTACAATAAAATTATGTTTTCAATGGAAAATCTTTCTAAATCCACTGGTTTTATAAACACAGTTTGTTGTTTACATTATAATCGCGGTCGAATGTCATTATTTAAAACTATTTTTATATACGCATTTAATGCTAGAAATTTTCCTTAATTAAAATTAAAATCATCCAAGAGCGCATTTTAATGACAAACAACATCTGCTGCTATCCCTTTAAAAAATAAAAAGCTTGCATTTAGGCTATTTAGTAGCCAAAATTAAAATATCAACAAAGGGAAATATAAATAAATAGTCTTAAATAATATTAACAACTATGATAAAACAACAAAAAAGCTATTTTAAATAAAAAGACACACACACACACACACTCAGTAGTAAGCAAGCCTACAGGGACAACAGTACCAGCATCTCCCTCATGAGGGCGCTCAGAACTAGGCGACAGCTTTGGATCAGGGCCCCGCTCCGAAATCAAGACATACAGCAAAAAAAAAAAAAAAAAAAAAACGCACAAACTTCATCTCGGAGCTCTAATGTTGTGACAACTCTAATGTGTGTTACAAAAGTAGGCCAAGGCATCAGTTTGAGGGGTGGCCGATGTATAACACAGCGATTATTAAGCCACAGTTAATATTAATATCACAATCCGCTACAGTTAAACGAAGGTAAGAGCATAGCTGACCTTTTTCTTTCCCGAGAGTTGATAAAGTTGGGCTAGTTGTTGAGCGGTGGATCTCAAAGCTTCCAGTTGTAATAACAGCTCTGATCCCGTAGAGTTCAGCACGCAACCCATAGTATCATGACACTGCGCGCGACAGCAGCGCTAGACAGAGTCCGAACACGCGCGTCTTTGATGAGGTGAGTCGCGCTCATTAGTGATTCTCTCTATCGGCCACTCCTCCTCTCTTATCTCCAACCAAAAGGATTGAACCCCTCCCCATGTCCTCTCCTCCTCTGACCACCGCATGAATCTATTATTGATGGAAAATGTATCTTTCCCGGCTAATGAAAATGTAAAAAATACATCAACTGTTGGATTGAGCGCGAGCCGCGTGCCCTGCATGCGCGCGAGGTGTTTTTGTGTGTGTCTACAGGGCTTTTAAATACGTACACCTGTTTTACAGGCTGTCTTCTGCCACAAACATTTAACAGATCTTCTTTTTTAACGAACTGTGTTTGCGTTTTGAAGAACTAATAGTATATTTTGCGCAGAATATATGCCGCCTCAGAGACTTCTCAATTCCTTACACTTGACTTCTTAATGAATAAATAGTTTTTAATATCAAAATATGATTTTTATAATTGAATATATGCTTGGATATTTGCGAGGAACGTATGTGCAGCATATATCTAATTAAAATAACATTCTAATCTTGAATAAACCATTTATTTACAGTATAAAATCCTCAAGTGTGAGGAATTTATTTTGCGCGTAACATAACCTGAAAGACTGATTAATAAAATGCGGATTCTTTATTATTTTGTAAACAAATATAAAGGATAATACAGCCTATTTAAGTATCTCTAAACACAACAACAATAAGCTTACATTATATATTTTTTCATACATTACTATATTTATTATATTAGCCTAAATATTATTTTCGTTTCCTATCTTCCGTTTTGTCAATTAATAAACTAAATCACGCATTTTCGCAACACAGTTTGTTCCTTCATCAATTTGCTATTAACTTTGTATATTAAATAAATAGATGTTACCTTATTTTGTGTTGGTATAAATAAAGGTTATAGCTATATTAATTACAATGTATAAAATAATATCGTTTCACTTTTGAATGTGACCAGTTTTGCGGTAATTATAGGTTTTCAGTGCTTACTACGCTATTTAATTTTAAATTAATATTAATTAATTCGTTTTCCTTCAGCTTAGTCCCTTTATTCATCAGGTGTCGCCACAGGGGAGTGAACCGCCAACTAATCCAGCATATGTTTTACTCAGCAGATGCCCTTCCAAGCTGTAACCTAGTACTGGGAAACATCCATACACACTCATTCACACTCATACACTACGACCAATCTAGTTTATTCAATTTACCTAAAGCGCATGTCTGTTGACTGTGCGGGGGAAACCGGAGAACCCAAAACCCACGTGAACACGGGGATCACATGCAAACTCCACACTTAGATTAACATGAAAATGTATATGTGAAGTGTTTGTATAATATTTAATAGCATATTATCATATCTTGTCAAACCAGCTCAAATAGAAATTGTCAAAATAAACCAAATTCTGAATTACACTTAACATATATGTAAATATAAATAATAATAATCCCACAAAACAGTGGCAGGTGCTAAAATTTCTACATTTAATAAGCAACCAGGGTAAAATGTTGTGTTTTTGAAACCGTGCTGTATAGTCTGAGGGCTAGTTCTCTGGGTGCCTATAGTAATGTCTTCCTTTCACCTCTAAAGCAATCTATTATGATGGGGCTAAGCTGTCTCTACAGTAAATCTTTTCAGCATCTGACAGAACTGAGAGGGCCATCTTGACCCCCTCACAATGCTTTCAAGTGCTGGGGGCCGATGCATCATCCATCACGTAGGTGACAATAATCCCCTGTCAGTCTCACACACACACACACACACACACTGACGTGAACATATAAGGAAATGCAGACCTAAAAAGAACTTTTGTTTGGGTGTGCTTGTTTGCATGCCGTTCTGATTCTGATTTACTGAGACTTGGAGATCAGAACAAAGTTCATCATATCTCAGGCAACTCTTTGATCAAATGCCAAAAGCGTATAAAACGTACACTGCATGACTGTAGATGTCAGGGATTTCTTTATGAGTTCCTCTTTAGCAAACATGAATATCATTTATGAGGCGTTTATCAGTGGGTAACTAATATTTCATTGAAAGCAGTGTTAGATATGGTATTTTTTTAAATGCTAAATTATTTTCAAAAGCAATATATATATATATATATATATATATATATATATATATATATATATATATATATATATATATATAAAGTATATAATTAAAGTAATAAAGTATATAATTTAATATATACAGTTGAAGTCAGAATTATTAGCCCCCTTTGATTTTTTTTCTTTTTTAAATATTTCCTAAATAATGTTTAACAGAGCAAGGGAATTTTCACAGTATGTCTGATAATTTTTTTTCATCTGGATAAAGTATTATTTGATTTATTTTGACTAGAATAAAAGCAGTTTAAAATGTTTAAAAATTATTAGCCCCTTGAAGCAAATTTTTTTGATAGTCTACAAAACAAACCATCGTTATACAATAACTTGCCTAATTACCCTAACCTGCCTAGTTAACCTAATCAAGCCTTAAATGTCACTTGTTGTATACAAGCTGTATACATTATATATTGTACATATACACTGTACATATATACATTATATATGTACAATATATAATAAAATATATAAAAATATATAAGTACAGTATAAACATATTTCCCAGGGATGGGTTGTGGCTGGAAGGGCATACGTTGCATAAAAACGTGCTGGATAAGTTGGCGATTCATTCCGCTGTGGAGACCCCCGGATTAATAAAGGGACTAAGCCGAAAGAAAATAAATGAATGAATATATATATATCGTATAAATTTGTACAGTATATATGTACAATATATAATGAAATATATAGAATGAGAGCATTTTCAATCCTGACTGACAGAACATTATTTAGCCACTTTATTATTGTGGGGTTCCACTGTGTGTGTGTGTGTGTGTGTGTGTGTGTGTGTGTGTGTGTGTGGGGGTGTGTGTGTGTGTGTGTGAGAGAAAGAGAGAGAGAGAGAGTATGTGTGACTGTGTTTGTGTGAGAGAAAGAGTGTGTCTGGATATGTTTGTGCGTGTGTGTGTGTGTGTGTGTGTGTGTGAGAGAAAGAGAGAGAGAGAGAGAGTATGTGTGACTGTGTTTGTGTGAGAGAAAGACGTGTGTCTGGGTATGTTTGTGTGTGTGTTTGTGTGTGAGAAGTGTATGTGTGTCTCTTTCTGTCTATGTGTGTGTGTGTGTGTGTGTGTGTGT